TTGGAAACAGTCCAAATGCCCATCATCTGTGGGATGGACAAAAAAAGATGTGGTATTTTTATACAGCGGAGTGCTACTCAGCTATAAAGAAGGATAAACTCAAGGCTTTTATAGGTAAATGGGTACAAATTAAGAGCATACTCATAAATGAATCAGACACACTTGTGTAAACATCCTGTTGGCTCCCTAGTGTAAAAAATTGAAAGAGCAAATAGAATCTAAAATGTGCAATAGATATTGTGAGAGTAAAAGAGGAAGAAACTGCTCAAAAGAAAAGAACTAGGATGAGGGAAAGAAGAAAGGAAAGAAGGAAAAAATTATATATATGAAAGACATAATTAGACTACTAATCTCTACTAATTCATCAAAAAGAATGGTTTGCACTTTCATTGTTTGATTAATTTTTCATGCCTATATCTTGTAATCTGAGCAGCTGCTTTGAAGATAACAATATGTAATATATTAACTATCACTGATCTCCTATTATGTTTTGAAATTCTTTGTCATCATTTTTGTTCTCTTTGTATTTTAAAATAAATTTTAAAAATTAAGTGGGAGTACAACGGAAGTTTAGTATTAGTTTAGACCAGGGATCAAGAAACTATTTCTATAAAGAATTGTACAGTAAATGTTTAGAGTTCCATTGCAACCATTTTGCCATTTTGGTATCAGAGCAGCCCCAGCATAGCCAAGAGTTTAAGTCCTGCACCATTTTGACTGTTGAGGACCCAGAATCCAAGATGACCCATTAGACCCAGTGCCCAGGAGTGGCCTGTTTGTGACAATGCAAGGCATCATTGCTTCCTTTGGTTAATAAGATCTAAGCAGTACTCACATTTATGCCTTTTTTTTTTTTTTTTTTTTTTTTTTTTTTGTCTTTTTGAGACAGAGTCTCGCTATGCAGTTCAGACTAGCCTTGGGCTCACTTTGTAGCCCAGGCTGGTCTCAAACTTGCAATGATCTTCCTACCTCAGCCTCCCAAGTGCTGGGATTACAGGAGTGCACCACCACTACCAGATTTATGCATAATATTTCTTCCATCTTGTGTGGGTACAGTTAATAGGATTTGTGTTCAGTCAAAGCCCACAAACCTGTAAGGATCACATTTCAATTTTGGGATACAGAATATTATAACAGGATGGACTCAAATCTCAACTCGTTCCCTGTATTTGTGGACTGATTAATTACCCTCTCAGAGCCTCAATTTCCTGCTTCATAAAATAGGAATAATAACTTTTCCTGGAAGATAGTCATAAAGAGGAAATGGAGGACTGTCTGGGAACATGTAGAATGGGGGGGGCAGCATGAGGGAAATGTTCCCTTATTTCACTCTCCCTACTTCTTTGCCTCAGTTTCCCCATGCATTTGATGAAGATGCTCTTTCTGGCATTATCTAATCCATTCATAAAGAGGCCAACCAAATATAGGCACCAAGATCCCTGCAATATACTACCAGATGCCCCCCTAAAAATTAAAAAGCCATCCCTTAATTAATACCCTTTGAAAATGCTTCCCAACTACTTACATTTATACTTAAATATCAGTCGTTGCAGCCTTAAGCAGCAGTTACTAACATGGCAGGTAGGGAAAGAACAGAATAAGGACTGCATTGGGTTTTCTGCCTCATTTTGATTAGGAGTTAAAAGTCTACTAGCGAAACTCCCTGGGGAACAGTCTCGGACAAGGGCAGAGAAAGAAGGGAAAAGCCAGAAATGCAAAGGTCCCAGCTGGCACAGGTGACCTAGTTACCTACCCGAGAGAGAGAGCTGCCAGCAGCACAGAGAAGGCCAAGCACAGAAGGCCGAGACAGCCGCCCCTCCCCACCACGAGAAGAACACACATCCCCGTGCTAAGTGTGAGCTCAGCCAAGCCTCCCCTAACTGGCCTGCTGCCCGTCCCGGAGAAAAGAGGGCAAGCAGCCAAGACAGATGTCAAGCAAAAGCCCACCAAAAGGAAGGCACACATAGGTGAGGGAGCCTGGCGTGCTCCTAGGACAGCCCGGGAGCCCAGTCGACTTTGGCAAGTTCCAGGGGACAAGGGAAATACATCTTCCTGGTACTCCCTTCCCCCTCTTTGGGCAGCTTTCCATCTTCTGCTTTCTCCTTCTTACAAATAAAAGCATCTTCCTTTCTTCACCTGCAACCCACTAATTCTTTGTTGGTGCCAAGTTTCCAATTTTGGTTGACTGCTCATTCAAGCAGCGTGGTGGTGCTCACCCCAAACGTGACCAGAGAGCCCCCGTGTAACCCCATCCTAATCAGGGTCTCACCCGTCCCTTCAATCTTGTTTATCACGCACCACCCATGGGGCCAATCTCTGCTCTTCTTTTGCGTACAATCGCTGGCTTCTCCATCCCTTGGAATCAGTGCAGAGCTCTCTGCCTTGAGGAGCTCATGCTTTCTGGCTTGTGACTTTATTTTTCCTCAAAAGATTCTTTCTACCAGGCAACGATGTCTGTCAACTGCTTTTTATCCCTGACTCCCAGCTGCTGTGTCCCCAACTCTTCTCCTTTCTAGAAACCACTGCTAAGTAAACTATAAGGAAGGAGAGAAGAATGCAGGGCAGTGCAAACACAAGGCATGGAGTGAGCCTCTGCCCGGGCCACCCTTACTTCCCTAAATGCCAGATATAGAAATCCAAGCACTGTTGGGATACAGTGGCCAGCATGGGCAGGGCAGTAAGTCCCTGTGTAGTCCAACTTACAGTCTCGTGCCATGTTTGTCACCTTGCAGACCATGTGTCATGGGTGCAACCTTCCTTCCTGCTCGCTTTGGCAAGTCTACAAAATCAGCTGTAAATGTAGTTCCTTGAACCACTAAGGAAGTTGCCACACTCTGTGTGTGTGTTTGTGTGTGTGTGTGTGTGTGCGTGTGTGTGTGTGTGTGTGTGTGTGTTGTCCAGGGTGGAACCCAGGGCCTTGCACATGCTAACACAAGTGTACCAAGAGCTCTGCCACTGGGTTCCACCCCAGCCCAGTAAGATGCTGCATTTTTCAGTAGTTGAAGGGGCTGTTTTGTTTTGTTTAATGTTGATTTAGTTCAATGCCCCCAACATCATAGCTTATAATGTCTTAACCAGGTTTTCCAACAGCTATGTGAAAAATAGAGAAAAATAACTCTTTGGAAACAATAAAAGAAAGTTAATTGAACTTAAATTAGATGTAGCAATAATTTAAAGCACAATTGAAGGCTTCAATGGAAACTCATGACTTCCTGTATCATAAATAAGATTTCTTTAAGATAAAATATATGAATGTAAAACTCACTGATAAGTAATATAACCTCACAACCCATTACTTAATGAGTGTTAAACACTTTTAGATGACAAAATACACTGAGTTTCTGGGATTCACAAGTTTGTTGACCAAGAAAAGAAATTCCATTTTCAGTAAATATGAAAAAAAATTAAAGATTTTGCCAGGCTGGTGTAGAGCCCAGTGCCAGACCTCTTCACCAGTATATGTGAGCTTGGGGTTTCATCTCCAACCCTGCAAAACTGGAAGACATTTCATTCTGTGTTTCTGGCTTCATAGTCTCATTATTTTGGCTGAATTCATGGAAAGGCTGTCATTAGAAGGACTTTCAATTGCTACAGGCTCCTTTGGTAGACTTTATTAAGAAAATAACTATTTTCAAAGGCATGGTATAGAATTTGTCTTTTTGATTAAAAAAAAACCCCGTATTTGATCTGAGTTGGCTCCCAGAGCATTATCATCACTTCTTAGAAAACTAACATGCCCAGAGGAACAAGAAAACAGGAGCAGGCTGGCATTGGCTGTGGCTGCCTGCTGTGGCCGGACACCGTCTCTGTCCCCCTTGTCACCATGTTTACCTGGATCTGACGTTCACTCACAGCTCTCCCGATTCTTTCCTGTTCCTGCAGATACCAGGGATTAAACCCAGGACCTTTGCACTGAGCTGCATCCCCAACTCTTCTTGTTTGTTTGATTGTTGAGACAGCATCTCACTAAGTTGCTCAGGCTGGGCTCAAACCCATGATCCTCCCACCCTGCCTCCCAGAATGCTGGGACTGCAGATGCCTGCTACTGTACCCTGCCCTCATTCTCGTCTGTTCCACCCAATCGTGGATCCCTACCAGCCGCCTGCGTGGCTTTTGAAAACTTGAACCTGACATGTGTTATCTGGGCCTGTGGTTGCTTGGCTTTCCCACCACGTTACCCCCTCCTGTGACACGTGCTGGTTGCAGGCGAACCTTCCTCTGGCCATTGAAGATGCTGATCTCAATCAGAGATGTTCATGGAATGATAATTCTTGTCTTTTTTCTAAAAACAAAAACTTAATTGTGGTAAATGCACAGGACATAAAAGGTTGCCTTCTGGAGCCTGTAATGGCTCACTCACCCCTTTAATTCCAACTACTTACAGAAGGCTGAGGCAGGAAGGTGAAAAGTTGGAGGCCAGCTTCAAGGAGATCCTATCTGCAAATTTAAAAAGCTAGGGTGTAGCCCAGCGATGGGGCACCCTTCAGTCCCATTCCCAAGACGCTTACCCCACCCTGCTTCCCAAAATTGCCACCTTAACCATTTTAAAGTGTGCGTATGTGACATGCAGTGTGTAGCGCCATCAGGAAATTAGAATTCTTATTTCTTATCCCTGCCACCAGCCTCTGTCGGGAAACTGTTGTCCTAAAATGCTGAGCTCTAAGATGAGAAACAGATTTACATTGCCCGCTATACCTCTTGTCTCTTAGGAATGGACAGCCAATTTTTTTTTTTTCTTCTTTTTTAGTACTGAAGACTGAACCAGTCAGGACTTTGCACTGAGCTATGTCTCCAACCCTTGTTTTATTTTTTTCTTTTGAGGCAATCTTTTTAGCTGCCCAGGCGGAGTTCACACTTGCAACCCTCCTGCCTCAGTTTCCCAGAGTGCTGAGATTCCTCGCCACCACACCTGAGCTGGGCAGCTGATTTTTAGAACAGTGTGGAGACACTTTTATGACATGTTTGCTAGAATGAGTTTCCTCTCTCCCCTGCATTTTCAGCAGCTCGGAGCAGCGAGTCCCGTGTTCCACCTCGTACCACAGCTCTGGATTGCACTCGAGTGACGGTGTCACAAAAGCAGGACCTATGGGCCTTCCGGAAATCAGACAAGTGCCAACAGTTGTGATTGAATGTGATGACAATAAGGAAAACGTGCCTCACGAGTCCGACTACGAAGACTCTTCTTGCCTCTACACGAGAGAAGAGGAGGAAGAGGAAGAGGACGAGGATGATGACAGTTCATTGTACACCAGTAAGTGCGGTGGACGCCGCCAGGGAGGGGAGCGTGGTGTGGGGCAGCGAGGGCTGATCCAGTGCCCCAGCTCCTGGTGCTGAGCCACATTATAAGACAGCCAAATTAATGTCTCTGGGCCTCTGTTTCTTTCTTTTATTATTTTGTAATTGTTATTAGTATGTGTTTGCAGTGCGTAAGGATGGCATTCATCGTAGGAACCGGTTTTTCCACCCCGTTCCTCCATCCTTTCATCTCTGAGTCCCCTTCCCTTTTGTTATCTCTTTCTTTAGCAGTGATCTGAGGCAGTAAGTGTTCTCTAAAAGCCTTCCCGGCTCTAAACACTGCAGTTCCCCACCAGCCCCTCCTGCATCTTAGGTGGATCTTCCTTTGTTGCTTTCTTTAATATTGCACCCCATCCCTCAAAAAGGGGAAAACCTTAAAAAATTTTCCCCATCTAGAAAATACACCAATGCCTCCTGCTGTTATGTGCAACAAATCACGTTTAGGCATCCCTCGTCGGCTTTAGGAGGCCTGAACTTAAATTTGCCATTTAAGACTTTTCACCTGTGCCGTGAGACAAAAGAAGAAACAGAGAAAACATAATTCCAAGTCTATCAGTCTGGCCATGAATAGTAAATATATTTTAATCATATGAGTGCAGCCTGATAATTTGGCCAACTTTTTGATAAATTAATTCATGATCACAGCAACCATTTATTGACTATACACTGTGAGCCTGAATCCCTGCTAAGATTATATTATCTTAGCTGCATCTTAAAACAGTGCTAGAGCATAGACATTATTCACACTATTTATGGATAAGGGGAGAAGATAGAAAAAGGAGGACGTGGCCCAGAGCCTCTAAACTAAGAGCCAACACTGATGATTTTATCCCACAGCCCATGTTCTAAAACCAGCAGCAGAACAAAAAAGAAAGGCACTACTAAATAAAATCCAAAGGCCCAGCTCACTTGCTCTTGCTCTCTGCCTCCCAGGCTCCAGGTAGCTCTAAGAAGTTTGTTGAGCTAAGAAATGACCAAAGTGAGGTTGAGCACAGAATCCCAGAGGAGCAACTAGAGACCTCAACCAGCCAGGGATAGGAGGGGCAGCTTCTTGGTCACCATTCACAGTGGTGCCAGGGACTTGAGTGCTTTCCACCAGGGCTCTCAGCCTTGCACTCTTGATCTTTTGGACCAGCTGGCCCTGGATGCCAGAGGCTTCCCTGTGAGTTGCAGCTTTGTTGGGCTCCCCACCTAGATACCTTTCACAGCCTTCCCTGCAGCCCCAGTTCTGACAACCAAGGACAGCTCCTGACTATGTCCACTACCCACTGGGGAGCAAGACCAACCCAGCTGAGAACCACAGATTTACACCAGACATGAGAAAGCCCTGTCCCCACTGCTCAGGCACGCATACCTGAATGTTGCCTGCAATGCAGTCCATACATCCACTCCCCCACTAACCCACCTTCTCTACCCAGCTGCCGCTTGCCACTTGCCCCAGCCCCAGAACAGCAATTCTGCCTGCCCCTCCGGAGCCCCCGGGGTACGCCTGAGCATACACAGGTGCAGTTTCCCAACAGCCTGCTAGCTGGGGTCCTCCCCTCTCCAGGTATCACCTCTGTGAAGCTGTCCCAAGTGACCAGGCCCTGTCCTCTCACCTCTGCGGGCAGTGGCAGCCCACCCTGCCCTCTTTTGGGATGTTGCCTGCATCTTGGAGTTTCGGAAGAACAAAGACCCAGTCCCAGATCCCCACAATGCTAGCTGTCTGGAGCGTGGTGATAGCAGGGACTCTAGACCCCGGGGCTGTCAGCCCTCTCAGGTGTCCAGCCCTTGGTGCCTTCCCTCCTGCCTCCTACCATGTGGCCCACCGTCAGCTTCTCGGGACCCCAGGCAGATACATGTCCGTGTTCACTAAATCAGTTCTCCCTTGTGCAGGCTCCCTGGCCATGAAGGTCTGCAGAAAGGACTCATTAGCCATCAAACTCAGCAACAGGCCCTCCAAGCGAGAGCTGGAAGAAAAGAACATCCTGCCCAGACAGACAGACGAGGAGAGGCTGGAGCTGAGGCAGCAGATCGGCACCAAGCTCACCAGGTAGGATGGCAGCCCCTCTGCCCCAGCGGATGAAGTGTGCCATCTCCATACTTGGCTCAGTCCTTGGTGCCTCTTAATAATTTATGGCATTTTAAAAAAAAAAGGAAAATGTCCTATCTTGTCTTTAGGGTCTCCACTATTGCCCTTCTCCTTGACTCCCAAATCTTGAAAATTGCTTTGAAAGTTAGGCAGAAGGTGGGCTTTCCTGGGAGAATAACCATCTGCAGAAACATCATCACCACACACTAGGATAGAAGACCTAGACGTACATATAGAAGCTGGGGTTTGGCTAAGCATGAAGCGTCAAAGAAGCAGACTGACGTGCGCCATGGGGTTGGTAGTGATACTTCCTTGCTCCTCTTTTTGAGTGGCTGCCATTCGTGTGTGGATATTAGAGCCATTGCCACGACTTCTTGTTATAGTAACATATGAAATATATTTGTATGTATTTGTCATCTAAGCCATGTTTATGTCATGTTAGGTAACATTTAGCACTTATTACTGGTCAGGCATTCTAAGCATTTTACTATTTTTTAATATTTTATTAATACATGCTTGCAGTGCACAATGACTTTATTCATTGTGGGGAGCTGGCCCATGTACATAGCATGTCTTAATTCTTTTTTTATCCCTTTCCTATCTCCTCCTCCCCTTCCCTTTATCCCTTCGTCCTCTTTCCATTTGCAAAAGATCTACTGAATCTCCACTTTTCCCATTATCTTTTATTGTGCCCTTTATTTATACTTTTGATTTCCTGTACAAGAGAAATCATGCAATATTTAAGTTGCGTGTCTGATTTATTTCAGTTAACACTGTGGTCCCATGCATTTTCCTACAGATGACTCAGTTTTATCCCTAATAGCAGAGTTCTCCATTGTGTATAAATCCCACCTTTTTCTATCCTTTCCTCTGTGGATAGGCATACAGGCCACTGCCAAGATTTAACTAGTATAAATTATGCTGCTATGGCCATGTGCTGTGATGTTTAACTCCCCTACATACATGGAATCATTTAACCTTTAACTTCCCTGTAAGATAGATGTTTGTGTGTCCAGTTTACACATCAGATGGCACCAGACACAGAGCTCTAGAGCTCCCCCTCTTCACCTCTGTGTTCTGCTCCTGCTCCATGATGATAATTCACACACTGAATGCTCACTTTGTGCCATGCCTGGTGCTGAGTATTTGGACAGAATATGGGGAAATCTGCTGGGATTTAATCCTGACTCCACCTCTGTAAAACAGCGGGTTTTAGCAACCTAAGTATTCAAAACAGTGCCTGGCCCATGACAGGTTCTCAGTGACCTGTTGTAATGTCATCTGCTCTTCCCAGCAACCATGACAGGTAGTTGTCACCATCTCCACAATACACAGGCATGGGAAGTGGCGCACACAGAGGTCATGCAGGACAAAGTCATCCAGCGGTATTAGTTTCTCATGTTGTATAAAGGCAGCTTCTTTCTCAGAACGAACCTGGTTTCCTCCTGGAGGATGTTGTGGCAATGACCCAGGTTTGTACACAGAGGTCAGCTCTGACGAATGCTGGGGCCCTGTGTCACAATGCTGAGAGGCACAGCATTAAAATATCTAGCCACTTGCCACACATCCTTCTGCCCTCTTTCTCAATGCAGGGACTGGCCACAGTGTGGGGTAGCCAGATTCTCAGTACTTCAGGGATAGTTACAACTCTCTAGAGAGCCTGAGAGTTAACCATTCTCCCTTCTATTGGACTGAAACTCTCAGGAGCTAGCATCCAGGGCCCTTGTGCTCTTTCTTCTGCAGCTTCTGCAAGCCCCATCCTCTTACCATGGCTCTTTCAAAACATGTGATGAGGACACCTTCGCGTCCCCAGGTCTTATTTCTGCAGATGGCTCTGGTGGGTGGGTATGGTTCTGGGCTGCTTCCTGACCCAACCTGTTCAAGTTTACACATCAAGAAAATGGGGTTGCCCTTGGGACAACCCCAAGGAACAGGTCTTTGGCTCTAGGCCCTCTTCCCAGGGTGGGCATCCTTTATTGCAATTCCTTGTTTCCACCTTTGACATGGAACAAACTGAGCTCCAGATATGTGCAGAGCAAACGGAAATTTTCTCTGCAGTTGGAGAGAGAAAGTCTGGTGTAGCATCCTGGGGTGGGGGAAAAAGAGACAGGCAGACAGACAGACAGACCCTTCTCATGGCATTAACTGACAATTAAAAAAGTATGCTGTGTTATCACAGACCATACTCCCCAAAGGAGAGGCAGCTTCAGCCCCTCATAGCTAAGCATCCAGCTGGCCATCGTGACAGCAAAACCCAGAGGTAGAAGAGGCATGAATCATCTGTGGCTGGAAAAAACTCTACATTCAAGACTTTGTCCTGTAAATCAACCCTTCCCTGGAGTTCATAACGTCGCTGAGGTTTCCCACAGTATGCAACCATTCCCAGCCTTCTTTCTTTATGTTTAGTGATGGCAGAAGGTGTGGCCTCCAGGGAAAGAGAGGCAGCACTGGCCATAGCTGAAGCCCTGAGACAGTCTGACTCCATCTCATCTTTGTTCACTCTTTTAGTCCAAGGATTTTGTGTCTTGTGAGACCTGTGGCTGCTCTAGCCAGATGACAGGGGCTGTGCACCCCGGAGCAGCTGTCAGGAGCATCTGGCAGCTCAGCCGTCCGATGGAGAGGCCAAGCCTGCATCTCAGAGTTGTCCGTGAGGCAGTGTGGCCATTGATTTACAGCCAGGTCCAGGGACTGTTCACCTTAGACTGCAAGACCAGCTCTGTATTCCAGCCACTCGTTCTTCCTGAAGCCAGGCAGGATGAAGTATATCTGAGAGCCTGGGATACAGGGGACTGTGATCGGGAAAGAGCTATGTTGGAGTCAGAAGCTTGGCTTTGGGCTCGTTTCCTAAATTGTTAGTTGCTCTCCCTGACCTTAAACGAAGTCATCTGGTCACTGTGTGCAAAATGTGCACTTGATTATCACAGTGAGCCATGAGAACAATGTAGAAAGCTATCATAGATTTCCACACGTCCGAAGCAGCCCAGCTGTGGCTTTGGCTACAGGAGGCAGCAGTAACGTTCTGGAAATCATAAGCTCCTTGAAAAGTGTACAGCCAAATCTCAATCCTCAAGAAAGGCAAAAGACTCAATTTTAGCCTGACGCTTTTAATAGCATAGGAAAAATAAATAAATAATGTGCAGCACTCCAAGGATAATCCCAAAGAGGAATGTGGAGATGGGGAGAGGAACTCCAAGTAAAAAGGAGTCGATTCCTAGGGATCCTACCAGCAGGAAAGCACAGCTCCTACCTGCGTATGCAGAGAGCACTGTGCTTCCAAAGCCATTTGCCTGTTGATGCTGCTGAGCAGACCGTCCTCACTCTCAGGTCCAGAAGTCATCCGGAGGTTTTAATAAGAATGATTTCAGATACCTCCTGCTAAAGGCGTGTGGGCTGCCCTACAGCCAGGGGCAAAAATGAGAGTGAGAGAGTATGTAAACCCTCTACCCCGTGCCTCATGCATACGGAGTCTGGGATGTTACAGAAAAAAGAGGTGAACAAGGCATCCCCTCCACCAGCGTGCGGGGTGAAAGTGGAATTTCTGTGTAAGTCTAGTTTGTAGAATCCTATGCAGTTTGATTATTGGTATCTATGTTATAATGCACATTATAACTGTACACTGTATACCAGTACAGTGGTAGTTTATGTTTCTTATAACTAAAATAGTACCTGTGGACATGCAGGTTTACATATTTTGTTTTTATTTCTATTTTTTGCTATTGGTATTTATTCATTCATTCACTTATCTGTTCATTTTGGTTCTTTGAGGCAGGTCATCACTTGTAGTTCAGGTTGACCTTGAACTTGCTATGTAGCCCAGGCTTGAACTTGTCATCTTCCTGCCTCAGCCTTCCAGCTGCCAGGCTTTCGGTCATGCACTGCCACGCTCAGTATGCTTAGGTTTCTGCTGAAGGAGTTCTCCAAATACTTAGGAGTACTGGTCCAAGGATCACTTCTCACAGCTAATTATGAGGACTTCTCCCCAGTGACCTGTAGTCAGGGGACATATGGAGACTCTAATGCAACCCGTCACCCCACTAAAGCTCCCATGCTGCCTACCCACCTGTGCAAAGCTGTGCTGCATCCACCCTCAGTCTCCTTCAGGGGCCTCACTTTGAACCCTAGGAAGTGGTAACCTTGACTATGGAATGTTAGCTCTCAGGTGCGTTTCCAGTCCCCTTCACTTACCAAGTTTTTTATCCCCCATCCACCCAAGAATGAAATGTTCAGTCTAAAAGACTCCATTGTATATGTCTGAAATCTAATTTAACACCCGCTTCCCCAAACTGAGCTTTAACAAACTAGACGTGGGGCCGCGCATCTCAAAGCTCATAGTTAGGGCCACATTCTCAGGGTGGCCTCCTGATCAGCCAGTGGAGAGCGCTTTCTGGCCCTTCTGTTTCCAGCATGAGAGCACTGATTGGTGGCTGGAATGGACCCACCCTGAGAGTGGAACTCAGGACCACTGGGTGTGTGGGGACAGGGTCTCCAGGGACTATCGGGAATGGCTGTGAAACATTCAGTAGAAACTGAGTTCTTGTGTACATCATGGGACAGCTTATTCTAAAGAGAAAGAGCTAAGACAACACACCAAACACGATCTGTTCACTCAAAATGGTCAAGTGTGATCACTCAGCAGCTGGGCACTCAGAGCCCCTGCCCCCAGAGAACATCCAGCTTTCCAGCTCCGGCCAAGAGGCATCCACTGGCCAGGCCTGTCCTGTGAGCCATTCCCTGGGCCCTGTCAGTTCTGTCTGAGATGTTCGAGTCACACAGCGGGGAAATCCTGGGAAGAAACACAGATGGTGTCTCACAGGATGGTGTCTTGCAGGAGCTTATGATCTAAATGAAGGAGTAAATAGACTTGGACAATTTGCCTTCCTGACATACTCTTTACCCTCCAAAATCCCTTTGCTCTTAAACTACCGTCTTTTCACTCAGGGATGAACTACCAGCATCTTTTT